TTGTATGCTGGCTGGGGAATTCTGGGAGTTGAAGTCCAGATATCTTAAGGTTGCTAAGGTTGAGAAGCACTGATCTAAAGAACAGGGCTGTGGGAATTGAATACAGTTAGTCCTCGACTTACACTTCATTTAGTGACAGTTCAAAGCGGTGGTGAAATCCAAATTTTTTTACTACCGGTTCTGTGGGCGTGGCTTGGTGGGCATGGTGTGGCTTGATGGGCATGGCAGGGTAAGGATACTGCAAAATCTCCATTCCCACCCCACTCCAGGGAAAGGACACTGCAAAATCCCCATTCCCTCCTCACTCCTGGGGGAAGGATATTGCAAAATCTCCATTTTCACCCACTCTGGGGCCAGCCAGAGGTGGTATTTGCTGGTTCTCTGAACGACTCAAAATTTCCGCTGCCGGTTCTCCGAACTGCTCAAAATTTCTGCTACCAGTTATCCAGAACCTGTCAGAATCTGCTGGATTTCACCCTTGGTTCAAAGTTATAAACGACGCTGAAAAAAAGTGACTAATGACCGTTTTTCACGCTTAACGATCTTTGTAGCAACCCCATGATCATGTGATCCAAATTCAGACACTTGGCAACTGGTTCAAACTTACGACCGTTGCTGTGTCCTACGGGTCTCAATGAGATCACCCTTTTTTTTATAACCCATTGATTCAAGCAAATCAATGGGGTAGCCGGATGTGCTTAACAACCATGGTAGTAACTTATCAGTTGCAGTGGTTCACTTAACAAATCCAGCGAGGAAGTTTGTAAAATGGGGCAAAACTCACTTAACAGATGTCTCACTTAACAACAAAAATTTTGTGCTCAGTTGTGGTTGTAACTCGAGGACTACCTGTATTGTAATACAGTGCAATAGCACTTAGACTTATATATTGCCTTGTAAGGTCCAATAATAATATGTTTAAGCTCATAAATGCCAAACAAGAAACTTAAAAGAGGCTTGAGTTAAATAGCATTTAATCTTGATCAAGCTTAAATGGTTAGCTGTTCCGAACATATACAAGATACATGCAGGTAACAATTACAAAAAGAGAAGGAATCCAAATCCCTTTTATATTCTTTAGGTATGTCATAAACCTCGAATTCTGGCATCTTTGATTTGTGTATCCCTGGAATTTGGCTTGTGTATCCCCTGGAACAGGGTAGAGCCTCTTAATGAGCATCATTACCTCTTTCCTTTGTTCTCACAATTGACCACTTGACTCCTTGGTGTGAAGGGAACGGAACTTAACGCAGATTGAGTGTTAGCATCTCCAATCTGATAAATTCTGGGCGTGGGGTGGGTGGGGAGAGATAATATAGTTCATATAGTTGAAAGATGATCATATAGTTTGACAAATGCCAGATACTTCACAACAGACCCCAATAACAGTCCAGGAAGTTAGTCAATGTGACATGTTTGTTTGTTTGTTTGTTTGTTTGTTTGTTTATTGAATTTGTATACCGCCCTACTCCCGAAGGACTCAGGGCAGTGAACAGACAAATAAAATACATATAATACAAAAACCATTAAAATACAATTAAATAATTGGCCTGGAAAACGAAATTTAAAACACCCCAAATTCATAAGACAAATTTAAAAATTTAAAATTTTTTAAAAAACAGTTTAAAAGAGGTTAGGCCAGGACGGCCTGCTGGAAAAGAAATGTTTTGATGGCACGGCGGAAAGCGCGCAGGTCCGGGATCCTCTGTATCTCCGGGGGGAGCTTGTTCCAGATGGCGGGTGCCCCCACAGAGAAGGCTCTCCCCACTGTTTGGCTGACGGCACCCTGAGGAGCCCCTCTCTATGGGAGCATACTGGTCGGTGAGAGGCTACTGGTGGCAGAAGGCGGTCTCGTAGATACCCCGGTCCTAAGCCATGGAGCGCTTTATAGGGGGTAACCAAAACCTTGAAGCGCACCCGGAACACCACTGGGAGCCAGTGCAGCTCGCGCAGGAGGGGGGGTCACATGGGAGTGCCCCGTTGCTCTCATAACCACCCGCGCAGCCGCATTCTGGACCAGCTGGAGCCTCCAGGTGCTCCTCAAGGGGAGCCCCATGTAGAGAGCATTGCAGTAGTTTGTGTTTGTGTTATAACTACAAAGGGCATAATATATATGTCAGTGTCACAGGAAACAAATATTTATAGCATGCAGGTAGACAAAGACATCATATATCATACATATATATATGTTGCAGGAAACAATTAACAAGTTTCTACTAATTCTAGTATTTCAGTATATCATTTCTTTACAGCTTCATAATGCTTTTACAGCCCTCTCTAAGCTGTTTTACAGAGTCAGCATATTTGCCCCCAACAATCTGGGTCCTCATTTTACTGACTTCGGAAAGATGGAAGGCTGAGTCAACCTTGACCTGGCCCGAATTGAACTCCTGGCATTGGGCAGAGTTGGCCTGCATTCTAACATTCTACATTCTAACCACTGTGCCACCACGACTCCTTATAATATGCACCTTATAATACTCAATACTCATAATTTCAATTGCAGGGTAGATGCCGAGTTTTTGTAAAATTAAAAAACAAATTCAAATCAGTGTTTCTAAACTGAGCGTGGACTTCAACTCCCAGAAATTGCCATCCAGCATGTTAGCTTGGGAATTCTGGGAGTTGAAGTCCACACATCTTATAGCTGCTGAGATTGGGAAAACTGATTTAAAATGTAAATTACTTTGGTTTTTACTGAGACAATCCATCTATGGCTCTGGACCTTGCTGTCTTGCTGCCAAACTAATTACCTTTCTCTACGTTTAAGCCTTTATCATCATGCAAGAATTTTCCTGATTCTGAGCTTTTTTTTTGCTGACATTGCTGATTATTTATTTTCACGTTTTATTATTATTTTTAAAGATGTTTCTTTGTATAAATTCTTTCAGCGGATGCGGTTGTATGGGGCAGAAAACTGTGACCCTGATTTATAGCTCTGTCCGATTTTATTGCAGATTTAGGAGTTTTTCTGAAACCCAGGGATAAGGAAATAACTTCCCTTACTAATAAAACAAGGTATTAGAAATGCAGGTGTGAATATGCTATTTTTAAAGGAATGCACTGAAGCGTAAAAATTGGGCCATCTTCCACGGTTCTTTTCTCTAGCTTCCTGGAGGTTTCCATTAATTTCTGAATATATTATGATAAATCCAGCTGGTGGAAGACAGCAACCATGTTAAATGACCCAGATTATTATTATTATTATTTTTTTGCTGGAGTCATAGGGTGAGTGGGATAGTAGGACAGTTCAGAGAAGAAGTGTAAAATGATTACACATGGGAAGGAAAAACCAGTGCTTTAAATATGGAGCGAAGCTTGCAAATATCTCATTACACGATGAGGAAGTGAGCGTTGCGTAGACAGATTTACACGGCTTGCTCTGAGATTCTTTAAGCAAAGGTGGAAAAAACTAACACAATTTGAAGGAGTAGCAAAATCGGAAAATTTCATTATGTGTTTTTTTTCCCCCTTCCTTGAATTTTGGGGAGAAACAGGGTTTTTTTAAAAAAACAAACATTTACTGTCATGCTTTCTCTAGATCATGGGTGTCAAACTTGCCGTGTCACGTTGCTGTCATGTGACATATCGCAACATTTTTTTCCCTTCACGGAGCTGGGGTGGGCGTGGCCTGTGCGTGACGCATCCGGCCCATGGGCCGCCAGTTTGACACCCCTGCTCTAGATAGTTAGTCAAGCTTAACAGAATAGCACAACTGGTCGTCTAGTCCAACCCCCTGCTTAAGCAGGAAACCCTATACCCATGATGGCGAACCTATGGCATACATGTGGGCACGCAAGCGTTGCCCTATATTAGCTCCAGCACGCAAGAGCGCACCAGCCACCTGATTTTCAGGCCTTCCGGTCCCACCGGAAGTCAGGAAATGGGCCATTTCTGGCCTCCAGAGGGCCTCGGGGGGAGAGAGAGGCCGTTTTCACCCTACCTTCCCATAGGAAGCGGGGCAGCACAGGCTGCTGCAACGGTCATAAGTGTGATAAATGGTCATAAGCAGGGGTGAAATTCAGCAGGTTCTGTCAGGTTCTGGAGAACTGGTAGCGGAAATTTTGAATAGTTTGGAGAACCGGCAAATACCACCTCTGGCTGCCCCCAGGAGTAGGGTTGGAATGGAGATTTTGCAATATCCTTCCCCCAGGAGTGAGGAGGAAATGGAGATTTTGCAATATCCTTCCCTCAGGAGTGGGGAGGGAATGAGGATTTTGCAGTATCCTTTCCCCAGGAGTGGGGTGGGAATTGAGATTTTGCAGTATCCTTCCCCTGCCATGCCCACCAAGCCACGCCCACAGAAACGGTAGGGGAAAAAAATTGAATTTCACCACTAGTCATAAGTCATTTTTTTCAGTGTTGTTTTAACTTCAGACAGTAACTAAGTGAACCGTTATAAGTCAAGGATTACTTGTATCCATTTTTGCACTTTTTCACGGCAGAAGCTCTATGGGTGGACAGAAATGAGTTTTGTCATGCCCTAAAATCCTACATCCTTTGGAGCAGGCATTAGGGATGAATGCATTAGATGCCCAATTGAAACACAAATCATAATATTTTCATACATTTCTGGAAAAAAACCCCAGCATATCTCTCACCTGGATGAGGTCCTGCAAGCGATTGCTCAACACAGGCAGGGGCCTTTCACAGAACCGAGATAACCCTTGTTTTATCTTACAAGCATGAGCCACAAAAGTTCTTTCGTGCTGGAAGGCCACCCCGCCGGCACTCTGGAGGCTTGATTTATGATTTGTTCTGCACGACTGCAAAGGCAACACGCAGAGAAATGAAAGTAAAGATGCCACTTTTTCACCGACAAGATTTTGCATGCCAGGGTGGAGCAGGGATGGAGGGGTTGGGAATCATCTGACAAAGCCAGAGACGAAAACAGGGCCAAAACTGTCAAAAAAATCTAGCTCTTTGCATCTGAGTATCTGCTTTGTATGGCTGGGTTATGGCGTAATTCCTCCTTCTGTCTCTCTTCCCTTCTTGTACAGATGAAATAATGCAGCAGGAGATCAGGCCTGTCACGGCGGTGGAGATCATTGAACAACTACACCGACAGTTTGCTATTTTGTCAGGTAAGACCTGGGGGCTGGCTTCAAAGGTCTTCATATTTTTTCCTGACAGTTAGAACAATTAAACAGTGGAACGACTTGCCTCCAGAAATTGTGGGTGCTCCACAGTGGTGGGATTCAAATAATTCAACAATAATTCTCTGCCCTAATGACTGCCTGGGTGGGCATGGCCAGGGGTGTGACAGGCACCACTCGGCCTCCTGCACCCGCCTGGGAGCAAAAACGGGCCGCAGGGAGGGGGGGCTGTGCTGCACACACACACCCCGCACCCCATTTGGGGCCTAGTAGGCTTCCTTGCACCCTTCTGGGAGCAAAAACGGGCCACAGGGGGCCCACACCGCATCCCCTCCCACATCCCGTTTTGGGCCTAGTAGGCTTCCCTGCAGCCTCCTGGGAGCAAAAACGGGCCATGGGAAGGGGGGCGTGCTGTACCCCCCCCACCGTGCCCCGTTTTGGGCCTGGTAGGCCTCCCTGCACTTAGCTGGGAACCAAAACATAGCATGGGGGGGGGACTCCTGGAAGGGGAGGGGAGGGGAAGGGCGAGGCCATCCAGAAATTTCACAACCAATTCGTTCGAACAGGCTGACTCCCACCACTGGTGCTCCGACACTGGACTTTTTAAAGAAGAGACTGGACAACCATTTGTCTGAAATGGTATAGGGGTTTTCTGCTTGAGGAGGGGGTTGGACTAGAAGACCTCCAAGATCCCTTCCAACTCTGTTATTCTGTTACAGCTTCCCTTATGTCCTTTTGCAAATGATGGGCTGCCTCTCCAGGTTTCCCTTCCCCACCCTGAACAAATCGCACGAACAGTAATTGCCGTGTGCTTTTGACAGATAAACCCAATCCAGAGTTTTCCCAGTCAAAAGTTTTTGAAGAGGTTCTTCTGCCTGTAAGTCTGGAGGCATCTCTTTGAAAGCTGTTCAAATGGCGCTTTGATCGCCTGGACCCTTGTCACCTTGAGACAATCTGACTCATCATGCAGGACCACAGAACTCAAGGGGGGGGTGCCTTCACCCAGCCCATTTAATTCACACAATTTACTTGATTAATGAGCCGTTTGGATTTGCTCAACACATTAAATAATAAACCAAATCAAACCGGTCAAAGGGAGATCCAACCTGAAAATAAGGAAATAAGGAAGAATTTCCTGACAGTGAGAACAATTAACCAGTGGAACCGTTTGCCTTCAGTAATTGTGGGCACTCCGTGACTGGATGGTTTCTTTTAAAAAAAAAAAAAAAAATTGGACAACCATTTATCCAAAAATGGTATAAAGACTCCTGCCTGGAGCAGGGGGCTGGACTAGAAGACCTCCAAGGTCCTTTCCAGACTTATGATTCTAGCTGGGGTTCTAAAGTCTAATCTTTTTAGATTTCAACATTGTTAAAAGTGCAACGGCAGGATTCCCTTTCAGAAAAGCATCATCGTGTTGTATGCTCTAGATAAATTATTTGTGAATGTGTAGGAGGGGTGTCTTTTAATAAGAAGGGTGGTTGGGACTTAATTTCAGTTAGAAATACAGTTTGGCCAAACCTGCAGGATCTGCAGGGGGTCAGAATGACAAAAAACAGCATCAAGTTGTTATGACGAAAAAAACCCTGCCTCTTTTGTTCCGTGCACTGTGATGTGGGACAGAGTTTCCCATTTTAAAATATCTAAGTGTTGTAGGCTGAGCAAGCAAAAAACCAAGATAGAATACAGGCAGATAGTATTTAACCAAAAGCTGCATTTTGGTCTCCAAAATCAACTATATCATTGCAATCCTTTCTTATCAACGTTCAGCTCTTTTTCTTCCTTCCTGGTGCAGATCCAGAAATGCGAAAAATAGTTCCTTTTAGTTCCATCTAAATAGGAAAAGCATTAACACTTCTCCCAAAAGCTCTCACCAGCCCTGTTGTACATACATCATACATACATACATATTTGATTTTTATACCAATATTACTTCATACGTAACTCGAGGCCGCAGATATACACACTCCTTGGTCCTCCTATTTTCCCCACAACAATAATCCTTTGAGGTAGGTTGAGCTGAGAGTGAGCGACTGGCTCAAAGTCACCCAGCTTGCTTTCATGCTTAAGGTCAGACTAGAACTCACAGTCTCCTGGTGATTGGCCCAATGTCACCCAGCCATCTTTCATGCCTAAGGCGGGACTAGAACTCACAGTCTCCTGATGATTGGCCCAACATTACCCAGTCACCTTTCATGCCTAAAACGGGACTAGAACTCACAGTCTCCTGTTGATTGGCCCAACGTCACCCAGTCATCTTTCATGCCTAAGGCGAGACTAGAACTCACAGTCTCCTGGTGATTGGCCCAACGTCACCCAGTCACCTTTCATGCCTAAGGCGCGACTAGAACTCACAGTCTCCTGGTGATTGGCCCAACGTCACCCAGTCACCTTTCATGCCTAAAACGGGACTAGAACTCACAGTCTCCTGATGATTGGCCCAACATTACCCAGTCACCTTTCATGCCTAAAACGGACTAGAACTCACAGTCTCCTGTTGATTGGCCCAACGTCACCCAGTCACCTTTCATGCCTAAGGCGAGACTAGAACTCACAGTCTCCTGGTGATTGGCCCAACGTCACCCAGTCACCTTTCATGCCTAAAACGGGACTAGAACTCACAGTCTCCTGTTGATTGGCCCAACGTCCCAGTCATCTTTCATGCCTAAGGCGAGACTAGAACTCACAGTCTCCTGGTGATTGGCCAACGTCACCCAGTCACCTTTCATGCCTAAAACGGGACTAGAACTCACAGTCTCCTGGTGATTGGCCCAATGTCACCCAGTCACCTTTCATGCCTAAGGCGGAACTGGAACTCACAGTCCCTTGGTTTTTAAGCCAACAGTTTAACCAATACAACCAAACTGGCTCTACATAAGCCATTAAATATCACAATAGTGAAAATCTACAAAGTTGTCTCATGGGAGAGTCCATGTCCCTTTGACAACAAAGATTGTTGTCAGATTTTTTGGGAAGGGGAGAGGATGTTTGGCTTTAATAGCAAATACGTCATATAAACATTTAGCAGGCAAAGTTACTTTCTCAGACACATGAGAGTCAAACTTGGAAGAATCTAAACTACAGGCAGTCCTCGAGTTACGACAGTTCATTTAGTGACCGTTCGGAGTTACAACGGGATTGAAAAAAAGTGATTTATGAACATTTTTCACACTAATGACTGTTGCAGCATCCTCATAGTCATGCGATCCAAATTCAGATGCTTGGTGACTGATTCACATTTATGACGGTTGCATTGTCATGTGATCCCCTTCTGTGACAAGCAAAGTCAATGGGAATTCAGACTCACTTAACAACCGTGTGAGTTAACAACTTCAGTGCTTCACTTAACAACTGTGGGAAGAAACGTTGTAAAATGGGGCAAAACTCACTTAACAAATGTTTCACTTAATCACGGAAATGTTGGGCTTAATTGTGGTCGTAAGTCAAGGACTATCTGTACTTTCTGCAGCCAAGATTTGCTTCCTAACTGCACAGAGGGCTGACAAGTATGGAGGAAAACCTTGGTTATTTTAACACTTATATTTTTTTCTGCAGAGTAATGAGTCTTACATCCATTACTCATTTATGTTTGATAACCTCTCTCTTTTGGGTGTCTTGCCGATAGAACCACCAATTTAAGGGACAAATCACTGCTTATAAAAATGCAGTAGATTCAAAGATTTTTCTCCCCAAACTCGAGGCTACTTCTCCCCAAAAAATGGACCTGCTTTTGCAAATCCACTTTGCAAATAAATCCATGGGAATTAGCACGTCACAATCTGCTAACTGTCTTCTGTTAATGGAAAGTGTTTTTTTTTTTAAAAAAAGAAAGTGAAATTGAAGCTTTTTGTGGCATCTGTTAAACAGATGTCTATCTTTGCAGTTTTCCAATAATGGAGAATTCTGTAGGGGGATTTGCATAAGCCCGGCCCCATAAACCCTGCGGCCAATCTCATTATATTAATTTTCCTGGAATCATTACGGGTGGTCCTCACTTAATGACCAGTGGATTAGTGACTATTTGAAGTTATGAAGGACCCACCCACCCCCCAAAAAAATACTTTGGAGCTGGGATGGCTACAATCCCTCCCACCTTGTGATCACTGCATTTCAGGTGCTCGCCTGGCCTTTATGCCCGGTTACGGTATTCATCAGGTTTTTTTTGGCCAGTTTCCAGCAAAACAAAGCACTCACAGGAATAGATGGATTCTCTTAACGACCATGGTGTTTGCTTAATAATCTCCCTGTTCACTGAACAACTGTGGCATTTCGCTTAATAACCACAGGAAAAAAAAGTTGTAAAATTTAGTCGAGGCCACACGAGTGCCTTGATTTATGTCCATCATGACTTACAACAGAAATTCCAGGCTCCATTACGATTGTAAGTTGAGAACTACTTGTATTGGGTGCCACTGAGCCACGGTGGCGCAGTGGTTAGATTGCAGTACTCCAGGCTACTTCTGCTGACTGCCGGCTGCCTGCAATTTGGCAGTTCAACTCTCACCCGGCTCAAGGTTGACTCAGCCTTCCATCCTTCCGAGGTGGGTAAAATGAGGACCCAAATTATTGGGGGCAATATGCTGACTCTGTAAACTGCTTAGAAAGGGCTGTAAAGTGATATATAAATCTAAGTGCTATTGCTATTGCTCTTCCTCTTGTTAACTGAAATAGATACAGAATGTCTGGAAAATCTGTTTATTTAATCAATAAAATATATGCTTAGATACCTCAAGCCAAGCTTGGCTTCTAGTGAGTACATGGACTAGCTCCTGTTGTTTTCTTGGTAATAATTTGAAATAAGCTTGCCATTCCTTCATCAAGAGATTCTCAGGCTAACCTACTGATTTAAAATCTCCCAGATGTCTCTTATCTATATCCTATATCCGTGATGGCGAACCTATGGCACGTGTGCCACAGGTGGCACGCAGAGCAATATCAGTGGGCATGCGAGTGTTGCCCTAGCTCAGCTTATTTTTGGGCCTTCTGGG